GAGATGTAATGAATTTCCATTTGATCTTTTTTTCAGAATGCATACACACGCATTACACATCTTAAAGTTGATAACTAATGGGGACTGTGCATGGCTTGTTAAGTCCCCGTTTTCGGACTGCGTTCGAACGGGGACTATGTTTTGACCTCCGTGTGTCCGTGCGTGCGTCTGTGTGTGCGTCCGGACCTGTATCTTAAAAATGCCTGGACCAATCACAATCAAACTTCACACATACATCATACGTGATATTATACATATGCACGTCAATTTGTTTCACTATCTGATTCAAGATGGCCGAATGGCGGCCATTTTTGTGCTAAAAATCATCAAAATCAAGCATTTCTCGACTGTTTACAGATGGATCTTGTTCAAACTTGGTATATACATTAGACATTATAGGACCTTGTTTAATTTGTATTGAACAGACTATAACAAAAAGTTACTAGACCATTTAAATGTTTCTACCTCAACTGAAAATTACCAGTCTTGGATGTATGGACAGGAAGTAATTTCAAACATTTATGCACTGTTCTCTCCAGGATTTTATTCAAAGGTGACAACTAGTTTGGACAAAAAGTTATTTAGAATGAAAATGTAAATCATACCGGTCATACAAATATTATTTTTTTACATCAGTATTATTATTAGGCTATAGTTGTTAAATATTCGGACATTCTTAATGGATTATGATATAATAATTCTCAGAGCAGCTTGGCATCACTGCCATCTAGGAGATAACACTGTGATAGTATACCTTTTGAACTACTGTGAATTCTAATAATAATGCATGCATGGTTTTGTATATCTTGCAGTCTACTCATATATCGTCTTTACCAGTTGAGGTGTTGATGTACATCTTCCGATGGGTTGTATCCTGTGAGTTAGATATGAGATCATTAGAACAACTTTCTCTGGTTTGTAAAGGATTCTACATATGTGCCAGAGATTCAGAGATCTGGAAACTTGCTGCAACTAGGTACAAACTTTTTGTTTTGTGATTAAAATTACATTACCATAATCTTCGTTAGACTTAACACCCAGAGTACTCGAGCTCCAAAAACCATTTGTTTTAGGGGGAAGGGTGCTTACCCGAGCACCTCCTTCAAAAAAGTGTGCAAATGACAATTTTGTTCACCATGTGACAGATTTAGGGGAATATTACAACTTTTTTGGAAAATAAAATTGCCAAATTAGTTTCTACTAACAATAAAAAAAACAGAAATGGTCACAAAAAATACACACATTTGCTTACAATATTCATTACATACCACCAGAGTTAAAATATTAAAAGTCTGTTGGAACACAAGTAAAGTCAAAATCTTCATGATTAATTTTATTGTCAAATGTGTTTGAATGTACGAAAACGCTTAATGCAAATTTTTCCGCCATGATGTTTTTTTTAGCTCCGCTGTCGAGCGGAGCTTATCATATGAGTGATTGTCCGTCTCCGTCGTCCGTGTCAATGTTTTACTTTTTCGACTTCTTCTTGAAAACTACAAACCTGAATGCTTTGATACTTGGTATATATGTACCTTGGGTAGACCTCTCTTAGGTTTGTTCATTTCATGTTGATATCTTCAATTCTCTAATTTTGGTGAATATTTTTGTCATTTTTGGTAAAAAGTGATATTTTCGACTTCTTGTTAAAAACCGCAAGTACAATTGCTTCGATATTACATATATAGGTACTACATGTGGACCTCTCTCAGATTTGTTCATTTTGTAATGATATCTTTAATTCTCTAATTTTGGTGAATATTTTTGTCGTTTTTGGTAAAAAGTGATATTTTCGACTTCTTGTTAAAAACCAATAGTTCAATTGCTTTGATATTACATATTTAGATACTACATGTAGACCTTTCTCAGATTTGTTCATTTCGTGATGATATCTTGGATTCTATAATTTTGGTGAATATTTTTGTCATATTTGATAAAAAGTGATATTTTCGACTTCTTGTTAAAAACCAAAAGTTCAATTGCTTTGATATTACATATATAGATACTACATGTAGACCTTTCTCAGATTTGTTCATTTCGTGATGATATCTTCAATTCTCTAATTTTGGTGAATATTTTAGTCATTTTTGGTAGAAAGTGATATTTTCGACTTCTTGTTAAAAACTGTAAGTCCGATTGCTTTGATACTATACATATTGTTCATTTTCTGATGATGTCTTCAGTTCTTTAATTGAAATGTGCATTTCTAACAGCGGAGCTATCTCAGCCGATAGGCTGCTTGTTTAAAAACTGCATGGTAATTACCAATTTTTGAATATAAATATGGAATAAAGTATTAGTTCATTGTTGAAGTGTAGTTTACGCATAGTTACTGTTGTCTATACATTAAAAACATATTCATGGTGGTCAATATCTGCATGTTGTACCGGATTGTAATGCTGTAAATTCGCCCATCCAAAAAATTGCTATGGGAGGTTTTACGGCTGGTGGACCCTTATTTGAGGTTCAAAAATTTCAAAAAATAATCATCAAATATTTGGGGGGTGCTTATATTTTCATTGAAAAATTCACCTACGTCGACTTTCAACGCCGACAGTTGGACCACCCAAAACGAAAGAAACTATTGCAGATGCTAATCAAAAATTTTATTTGCTGGATTAAAAAGTAGACCGCGCATCTTTCTCCCCGAAAAAATCACATTAACGAACCTCGTGCGCCAAATACAATTATTTTGTTTCATTTTATTAGTAACGAAAGTATATTCTAAAAGAAGTTTCAAATAAAAATGAACCGAAATGCATTGCTTAGTAGCAGATGATTGTGGTAGCGCAATCCGGTCATGCTGCGTTTCACAATTGTTGATTATTACTTACTAACGATTATAATAACGTGCAAAAAATAAATTCGTTGAATTGTTATGAAATCCAAATAAATTTCAACTTATTTCATTGTAAGCAAATGATTTCGATCGCATTTTCAATGCTCGATGCTGTAGAAATAAATATCCGCCATGTTTTGACCTGGGACGGTGTTCTTTGACCTGACAGGTAAAATCGCTAATAAATCAATGAAAACGATGGATGATGCCAACGTGTTCAAATTTCCATAGCTCATTTAAATATGTTAATGTTATTGAACCTGATGCGGAAGAAATTTGCAGATGCTGTTGTACGATCTTTTGGCTTGGATTTTGATGGGAAACCGGCATGATTTGTTTTTAAAAAAAATAATTGTTTTCAAAAGATAAACTGACCATTTGAAGAATAATTTAACATAACAGGGAAAACTAAGCTTACCCATTCACCCCAGTCGCAATAAACATCAATACTCTTGAATAGGCGTCAATGACTATGGTGAACCTTTTGGGCATCATCAGAAAAGATTAAAGCAACACCTTAAAAAACTGCCAAAAAATCGCCAAAACAAACTGCCGTTTAACGACCCAGTCGTATATAAATTCAATTACTCATATTCAAACAATGATCAAAGACAAGGTTTTATGACTAGACAGTCAAAATTCACTACGTTCAATTACCCACCATAGACTCCGGTCAGTCAAAATGACTATTTTGAACTGTAGGCATTAATCAGCGATTCTGCTGGTGACATAGAGATAGAATCTAGGTCAGAGGAAGCCCAATGACCCCAAGATTCTTTTTCCCTTATGTCACGAATCATGTGACCGAGCCCATATGGCGGTGCCATAGACGGCTGTACAATCACTCAACTTTTTCTCCGCATCGAATGGAGATCAAGTCTTGCGAGCTCTGTATGGATTGCCTGCTTTATTTCCTGTCCGGGTTTCTAGCTTGGATTGTTGCTGCTGCCCAGCATCCGACATTGTAGCTGGCAGGATAAGTTTTCCTCGTCATTTTTACTCTCGTGTCGTTTTTCCCCTTTGTTGTGTAGTATTTTTCACAACAAAGATATAAAACCCGGGTGACGTAGCTTAATCACTTGTTGGTTTTGTTACGTCTCCTTTCCTACTGTAATTCTCTTCCCTCAGAAATACTTTTGTCGTAGCTGCGTGCGGGGTTCAGGGTTTTTGCCGTGAAGGCGTGTGTTTTTTCACTGGAGTTCTGAGGCCTGAGATTTTTCTTTCAGAGCCATCAAAATCGCTGAGGCTGACCACGTCATTTGTTTCTTCACAGCAAGGTCGCGCGTCCAGTAAACAAATCGGTTACAGTGAGTGCGTGTTTGGCATGAGTGGAAAGTCCTCAGGCTCGGCTACCAGTGCTTCGTGTACCGGGACGTCGAGTAGGAGGCCTGATGGTGGAGGTAACAATACTTTTTCTCGGTCTCCCCCCGCTGATCGGAGGGCATCCTCACAGTCTGTTTTTTTCAGGCGATGTTTTACCTGATTTTACCGGCTGCAGCCAGGCTGCACCCCTGGAGGCTTTCCTCCTATGGGGCCCGTTGCGGGCTTTCAGGGCAGGGCACACGTTGACCCCCCTACTTTCAGCCAGCCAGCGTTTGTCACGTGGTAACAGTACAACGGTAACAAATTTATCCTTGTGTTCGGTCTCCGCTGTGGGCTTTGGACTCCCTTCTTACCGACCCACGGGCGTCCCCAGAGGGAATCAACCCTGTCATGAGTTGCACAGTCGAACACGCTCCCTCTCACATATTTAAAGTGAAAGGAGACGCAGTTCGCTCACGTCGGATACAGCCAGTACTCCGGGCGGCCCCTCAGAGTCTTCCATCCGTAATGACTCGGTGTGCCATGCTTTTGGGGTGATGCGGAGTATCATCGATCCCAGTGATACGATGTAAATACCCCAACCCTTGATCCTAAGGCGACCACCTTCAACGCTTAGGGGATCATAGGCATCGAGATCCAAAGCAACCCCGTCGGCAGGTATCTCCCTGTCCGTCTGAGTGCGGAGTGGGCGCAGGACACGCAAACGGTGTTATGGGCGGAAGTTGGTCAGCCACGGAGGACGTAACGCTTAAGGCCCCCGGGTGGAGATAACCTTAGGCAACACTTCCCGCTGGACCAAACACTACCTGGTCGGTGTGGTTTCGGGATCACACCCCATAGCATGGGGTGAGACCAAAAACGCCCCCAACCGGATCCCAAGGCTCCTTCCCCAGACCCTGGTACCACAAATTTCCGTTTGGCAAACCGGGCAAAGGGGGACAGCCACGTTCCATGGACGTTCTCGCCAGCTCAATCGGAGACAACCCATCCAGCCCTGTGCACAGAGTTGCTTGAGCGCATTATTACGCGCACCCAGGACTCTGGAGACCTTAGAGGCAGAACGCACCAGCCTCCTAGACTAGGCGACACATGTACTGGCGGGCCAGCGCACATCTACGTGCGACATCCCCTAGTGTCACCTGGCTCTCTTGGCCAGGGCCACTACTGTGCTACGAGACGCGGCCTTAGACGCACATGTTTTCGCTGACAAGCTGAGTCAGGGGGTACGTCCCCCCTCAGTAATGCAGACTGGACATCTTCAACCCTCTTTGTTCAGGAAATGGTGGGTACAGTCTCAGAGCTTCGGAGTGCTATGAGCCAGAGGGTTCAGATCGAATTCGCTAGCCAGTTGGCCCTGCAATGACTGCCAAAAAGCGCTTGAGGCTTTGCATTTCTGATATCTTAATATTCGGCTTTATTTCTGCGGATACATGTTGCAGTGACATCATGAGCTTTGAGGTATAAAACCTACTACTCTATAATACTTAACAGTGGCGACAACACTATTACCACGCTGGATGGTCGCAAGGCCGGTAAAGCATAATAACATTATGATTTATAATTTCCAGTGCTACTAAAAACGAACACACCAGACTAAGAACTAAGTAGCTTAAATAGCTTTGGTCTGAATATCTGTGAGCTGCATGATGTATGGATATCATTGCTTTATTGCTTCGACATCCAAGTCAACCCAGCTTCCAATGTGCGCAGTGATATTTATTTTCGAGACTGGCATTTTCACAGCCTGGCAATCATCTTGGTGAAAACAAAGTCCATAAAACGGTACTTTGGGATGGTTCTTGACACCCACTGAACTGTGTAACAAGATTACCCCTGCATATGCAACATATTTAAATTTGGTTGTTTGGAATTACTTCAAAGTTAAGTTTGTGCTGTTTTCTCAATTTTAGCTATTTTCGGCTTTTCGACCGGCATTTCACAGCAGCTCGCGTAGAGCCCATAGAAATACATGGTATAGTGGTGCGCTTCTTTTGTCTTGTGTCTTAGCTGCGCCCCAAGGATAGCTTGGCCAAGCGTGTTGATGAAAGAAGCAATATGATTGACTGTTGGTAAACCAATTCTAAACTGTGAGGTCATTGTCACATACACATAGTCCTAATGAAATACTTCAAGGTGATAGTGGAGTGCTTTGCCGGAACATTCACCTTGAAAATTCAAGATGGTCCTCAGTTGTTTCTGCTTTGTCTTTTGGTTATAGTTTTAGAAAAGTGCAACAATTAATACCTTACCTGTACTAAATTAATTCTCTTTGTAGGATTTGGGGTGTTAACTGTCGTTTAACTAAGGAACACCCCTCCTGGAGGAGTGTCTTTATACACCGGCCACATCTACGTTACTGTGGGGTGTACATCAGTAAATCATCCTATATCAGACATGGTGAGCAGTCTTTAGATATGTTTTACAGACCCTGGCACACTGTTGAATATTATCGATATATTAGAGTGTTCCCTGATGGTGAGTAACATCGACTTATGGTTTGGTCCTTTCATCCATGTGTGCATCTGGATCTCAAACACAAGATTTCACTGCTCAGAAATAGCTTTTGCCTTGTTTAGTATTTCATTCAGCTGTATGCCCTCAACACTTCAACCATCAATTATTAACAGATTACTTGATAATTTCAGGTGAACTAGAGATGCTGACTTCACCTAACAATCCCCATATCATAATCCCAAAGATGAAATCTAAACAGGCCAAATTACCAGGTCTTTTAAGTGGCCATTACAGAATAGCCGGAGATAAAGTAAGATCATATGTCTTAATTTTTGTTTCCTCTGTGTTATGCACATGTCTACATCAGTGTCAGTGGTTAATTAATATTTGTGAGCTGGTAAAGGTCACTCAAGGTCAAACCACATTTGGTTATTATTCATTTCAATAAATTGATATATAATAACTTTAACTTTTAGTGTTTTTAAATTATTCACAGTGACACATGTTATATTAGTTTATTTTATTATGCAGGTTATCGCTGTCTTTCATAAAATTGAATTTAAGGTGTATGACCAGGCACTGAAACGTTACAAAAGACATCAAAATCATACCCAGCTAGACTATGAACAAACATTTCATGTGGTAAGTCTTCACAGTTGCTATAATGGACCTCCAACAATAACATCCAATACACCATCATTAACAATGATGGTACCATTACTTTAAAATTTGTATTAGAAGGCTATAGCTTCTATTAAAATGCAATAATTAAAATTAGAATGCAATAAACTATAAATGTAATATATAATCCCACAATATTTTCTCTTAGGTTGACGTCAGAATACACTCTTGATTACCTGTGGCTCAGATTGCTCAAAACTCACTCATCTCTGCTGACATCAATCTAAGAGGAAAATATCTTGTTATTATATAAAAATATTCCATGCACAAGAAACCTAAAAATGTTTTATACACAGTAGCAGTTTACTTTGAAAATATCAGCAAGGTAGAGTGAATGCACAGCTAATAAGTTCATACTTGTTTGTGTTCTTGTTATCTAATCCTCAAAGGCATGTTGAAATATAACAATTCATTGTTTTTTATTTTGTAGGAACTGACTATAGAGAAGGTTGGTGGTAAATCTTATTCTAAACTAACCTGGAATGGATATTCATGTCGCACAAATTACAAGTAAGTTATCACAATATATGCATGCATACTTTGTGGTATCCTTGTTATACTTCTATAGTAGCAAATCAGGTATTTCTTAGTTTAAAGAACTAAACTTTATATACTGGTAGAATATTGTAGAGTAACTTGATTTATTGTATTTATGTTTTGTGTTTAAATGCTAGTTATGATGTCTAGAAACCTCACAGTGGATAGTACTTTTTAGTCAATGTATAGTATTGCAGACCAAGATAAATAGATTTCATCAATAAAAATTTATTTCATATTTCAGATCAACTGGACAGTTATCTGTTGCAGAGTTTGACTTAAATTGTCAGCACTATCCACCTTTCTTTTTCTCAAGAGTGAAAAGTTATACTGCAAACGCTACCAGTCCTCTGATGTAACAACAACGTACATGTATAACCACCTTTTTAGCTCCGCTGTCGACTTTGCTGAGCGGAGCTTATCATATGAGTGATTGTCCAGCGTCTGTCGTCCGTGTCAACTTTTTACTTTTTCGACTTCTTCTTGAAAAATACAAGCCTAAATGCTTTCATACTTGGTGTGTATGTACCTTAGGTAGACCTCTTTTAGATTTGTTCATTTCATGATGTTTTCTTTAATTCTCTAATTTTGGTGAATATTTATTAATAATACAGTAGTCACACAATCAATATAATAAGGCAGTTCATATTTGTCTCAGTAAATCATTAATTTTTGACATACACCTGTACAAAATACTTGGACAAAAGCCTTGGACAAAAGCCAGCTAAGATTTTCTGTTATCTTGCATGTTTTATGAATCTATTCTCGTCCGAATGTAGCACTTTTTTTCTGAGATGAAGCATTTGTTTTTATACTGAAATATCTGAATTACTTTGAATAAAGCTGGAAATTTTGTCCTTCAAAATAATTAAACAAATTAGGCACCAATGTTTTTGTAAGATATCTACATCAATCAAGGACATTCGGTAGACTGCTTAACCACTGTTTCAATCCCAAAACTTGTTTGTATTAAAAATTAATTATGACAATGCTTATTCATATTGAAAAAAACTATAAAGGGAATAATATTATATAACAAAGGGCAAGGTCACCAGAGTTTAACTATGTTTATAGCTATGCTTCATACATATGTCCACTTTGCAAATGAGTATTTACCATATTGGCTTTATTAGAAGCACATCTCTAATATAAATGCACATAAACATCTTTTATAAACAGAATCATTGAAATATGACTTAGTTTAGCCATAAACATAGTACACCTGTAATTCAGGTAAGCAAACATGTGCTACTAATATAAACAATATGGTACTTACTATACTGAGTGTACATGTATGCAATAGTACCTGCCATAGGCAATACATGTTATCAAATATGCTTCATTTACTGTCCAACATTTTATTTCTGGAATTTATCCCTGTTTGGTTCATGTTTTTAACCCATCCAGTCACTCTGGGAATTATTTTTGACATGGCCAAAATACTAAATTTTTTTTTTCCATTAATGATCTGATAATAAATAAATTCATTTTGAATTTTTGTTATCATTGTTTATTAACTAAAATGCTGTATTTCTGTGTGTGTAAATCTGTCAAATACAACTGGGGGAATTGGGAGAGCTATTTGGTTTTTAGTCTATGGGTAAAAAATGTGAGAAATGGTTGAGACAGGTTTCTGAGTTAATTTACACAGGTTCGGCCGTTTAAAGATTATTACAGTAATAACGGTACAATTAAGCAAGAATTCCTATATCATAGCCAATACCCAAGTAATTAATATTCCTTTTAATGCTTTGTTTTTTGTCGTTGTTTAGTTGTGAAGTTTGATTGGATGGAACCCAAATTATTTAACAATAACTATTTTTTATTTTATTTTATCTACATAATTCGAACTAATATGACTGACTGGCTGCCACTGAAATTCCTGAACTGTATGTGGTACATATACCAGGGGAAAATTTGCCTGCGGGTTTTGTTTATGAGTGAATTGTACATATAGCGGCACTATGAATGTATTATATATCATTTGCCCAGTGTAATATTATAGTCTTAACACATGTTGGCTATGGTTTATTCATAACCCTACTGTAACTTTACAATACAGCATGCATTGTACAGACACCATAGTATGGCAGTACATCACATGACACTGCACATCACATGGCACTGCACATCACATGACACTGCACATCACATACAAACCTGGACACCAAATCATACATAACATCACACTACATAATACAAACCTGGACACCAAATCATACATAAAATCACACTACATAAAACAACCCTGGACACCGAATCATGCATAAAATCACACTACCTTGTCTTTTCACCTTGACTGAATTTACAGGTTTTCAACTGATACGTTGTAATATTGATTTTACAGATTTGTAAATATTTTGTATTTAATAATTTTCCATGATTTGTATGTCTTAACAGACTTAGTCACAGAGGTAAATAGTGACAAATGCATGGAATGAATTTGAGTGTCACATTCTTGTTTTCGCTTTTTCACAAAAGTGGAATTATTTTAGTAAACGAATTAAAGTTTCAAAGAAAAAATTATATGAAAATAGGACTATAGAGGTAACACATTGATATCTATAACAAAATCATTATATACAGTTTGTATCTAACACCAAAAACAGTATAATTTACCTGTAAAATGCCATATGGATGTGTTCAAATTGTCACATTTAAATCACATTCAACACTTTACTCCAGACCCAGAATGCATGATGGGAATAAAATTCAGTATCAAGAGAATCTTGCATACTTTGCGGTATTCTCATAGTACGGTTAACATAAGCACAAAATTGTCCTGTGCTTGAGTCGCAAATATTTTGTATCCCAATGAATTCTGTTTAATACATGTTTGTAATTTTAACACCTCAGCTATGTGTGTGTAGCAAATAGTTGAAGTGACCTTTTTAAAATGTGTGCCTAAATTGATTGTTTCTGATTCAGAGGACTATGTTTAATATTGAAGCAGTATTTTTTGTAGTTATAGCATTATTCAAGAGAAATAAAATAATTTAAATCGAGCAATTAGGTTGTGTAGTGTTTTGTTAAACACTAGCAGTAAACAATATATTTTGCTTTACCCACCATCTGTGTAGTGTTCTCTGACATTGTATGCAGTGTACTATGACAGCGTATGTGTTGTGTGTAGTGTACTGTGACATTGTATGTGTTGTGTGTAGTGTACTATGACAGCGTTTGTGTTGTGTGTAGTGTACTGTGACATTGTATGTGTTGTGTGTAGTGTTCTCTGACATTGTATGCAGTGTACTATGACAGCGTATGTGTTGTGTGTAGTGTACTGTGACATTGTATGTGTTGTGTATAGTGTACTATGACAGCGTTTGTGTTGTGTGTAGTGTACTGTGACATTGTATGTGTTGTGTGTAGTGTTCTCTGACATTGTATGCAGTGTACTATGACAGCGTATGTGTTGTGTGTAGTGTACTGTGACATTGTATGTGTTGTGTGTAGTGTTCTCTGACATTGTATGCAGTATACTATGACAGTATGTGTTGTGTGTAGTGTTCTCTGACATTGTATGCAGTGTACTATGACAGCGTATGTGTTGTGTGTAGTGTACTGTGACATTGTATGTGTTGTGTGTGTTCTCTGACATTGTATGCAGTGTACTGTGACATTGTATGTGTTGTGTGTAGTGTACTGTGACATTGTATGTGTTGTGTGTAGTGTTCTCTGACATTGTATGCAGTGTACTATGACAGCGTATGTGTTGTGTGTAGTGTACTGTGACATTGTATGTGTTGTGTGTAGTGTTCTCTGACATTGTATGTTGTGTGTAGTGTTCTCTGACATTGTATGTGTTGTGTGTAGTGTACTGTGACATTGTATGTGTTGTGTATAGTGTTCTCTGACATTGTGTGTGTAGTGCTCACTGTCTACTTTAGCCATCTTTTGCAAACCGGTATTGCGAAAGTCACGTGGTGCAGGCGAAATGTGCGGAAAGCTCCACTTTGCATATTGGTACCCTGATGTATAGGTGGAACATTGTTTGTATCAAGAAGTTTGTATCATGACCATTTATAAATCCTTTCTATTCAAAGCAGCGGACATTACTACCTGGTACGGGATATATTGTTATGGTGATAGTATATATTTGTTAATAAACTATGTATAAGTAAGTAATGTTATCGACAGAAATTGAGAAAATGATCTATAACACGAGAAATACTGATGGGAATTAGTTCAAATTTTGGTTGTGCATATTACTCACTCGTATATGATTATAGTAATGTGAATTAGAATGTTACAAATACACATAAAGGGAAGATATTGCCAAAAACGTTAACAAAATAAAATTCGTTATTTTCATTGTGAAATATAGAATGACATTTTTTTGTCCCCTTTTTGTGATCAACATGTGATATATCACCTATATAACCTACTCACATCGGTAAATCATATACAATTTAAGGAAATTTGAGCATTTGGTAGAAAAACATAAAAATAAATGACATGACAACTATTTTATAAGCATGTTTGGCACCAGTACATGTATGCTACCATGTTTACAACTTTCAGTCAATTTGAAGTTATAGATGAAATCATTTTCTCAATTTCTGACAACAGACTCTATCATGTCATACTTTACCCATAATCCTTTGCTTGAAAATCAAGATGGCTGATTACATAATACTGATGAAAAGTTCAATATCTAGAGAATGAATAGTGATATAAAAAAAACTGTAAATTGCATTCTCCTACATTTGTGGAGCTTTTTCTTGGGGGTCATTGTGTTGTTTGGCTTGACTTCCCCTTTAATGTTGAGGCTTTGGCCGAATAAATGGTCCTTGGCTGGCAAAGATGTTGGGCGACTTGTTTAGCATGCCATTATACCATATGTTTATTTTATCACAGAACATGTTTACACTGATCGCACCACTGACACAGTCATCGGTAAACGACTCTTGAGTAGCACATTTATTGAAGATGTTCTTTTGACTCGCAACTGTTTCCGACTCTATCCGAAGTAAATGAGCGAAGTAAATGCTTAGTAATAGTGTGAGAATTTATGCGTTTCCAAACGATCTGATAGTGGGACATCAGTAGACAAAAGCCGTAAAATCAATGAGAAAAAGTTGAGATGAGATTCTCCGTTTACCGTCATACTGCAGATTCTTACGCCGAATATCTGTCCTTATTTATTATTATTATTATTATTATTATTATTATTATTATTACAGAAATATTTAACACACAGTCTAGTACGTGATGTCGGCATGTAGTTGTTAACAGAAATATTTAATACATAATAGTAGTCTATTACGTGATGTCGGCATACAATTGTTCACAGAAATATTTAATACATAGTCTGTTATGAACTCTACTTTGGTCGAAACGTCCGCGGTCGAAACGTTCGTCCACCCATTTGAACATAATGTAAATTCACTTGGCAAGCACATTTAGTAACTGTGATTTACGAATCATCGACTCATTATATTTAATATTTTTCAATATGCATCTATTTCATTGATCGCTATAGTTCAATGTTTAGAATGTTAAAACATGCTTTTATTTCACATAGACGATCGATGGAATACATCAGTGTATGAACATATCCAGCAACCTGACAAATTACTCGAAGACTTCAAACTCGACTTTCGCAAACTTGGAAAAAATCGAAATAGACATAGAGATCGCGGAGAGTACCGTGGCAATAGATGTCGACACTTCAACCGAATTCATT